GGAGGGCCTGGAGCCCAGCAGGGGAGGGGGGACAGCGTGGAGGGCCTTCCTGGATCCCAGTCGGAAGAGGTGGGGACCCCGCTGGCATCTCCTCCAAAATAGACACCTGGACTCTCACCACTGCATCCTCACAGCTAACGCGCATTTCAGGAAGAGGCCTCTGGTCTGAGAAATCAGGTTTACCACTGTCTGCACCACACAGAAAACCAAACAAATTGCAGGTGGCCTCCATCAAGAAAACAGGTGCACAGCTAAGAGTTTTAAAGTTAGAACCCTCCTTCTAAAGAGCCACAAATGACTGAAAGCTTCAGAAACAACAAGAACGTTGACTAGACAGAAAAGATGGGGGCCAGAGAGAGGAGCCTGTCAGGGAGGACGGCGGGGGCAACATGCCCTGTGAATCTGGAGCACTCCAGAACCTGCACCGATCGACTTCTTCAGTGTGGAGTGGAGCTGGCAGTGTCCCGCCAGACAGGAGCGTACTAAGGCGAATGTGAACATGTGGCCTGCTCTCACTGGATGCAGTGTGCTGCGCAAGCTGAAGTTCCACGGGAAGGTGCCACCACGCACGGGCCTGCTGGCCTGGAGACACCACTGCCTCTGGGAGGAACCTGGGCCCTCGGGCAAAGAGGCAGGGCCGCCCCAACACCCCCATCCTGGACACAGGGACCACCCAAGAGCACAGGGCATGTGGAGAGGCTGGTAGCCAGCGTGAAGACGTGCCCACTGGCCACACAGAACACACAAGCAAATCCGACTGCAGGTGCTGCCAAGGCAGGGAAACCAGCTTGCTGTTTCGGACACAAATGAAGGAACTATTACATATTTTTCCAGCCCTTCCTACAGAAAACGGAACAAACAGCAAAGTGTGTCTTTCTGGAAGCACTCCAACTACAAATGAAGAGGAGGCTGGAACGAAGGCAGCACTCAGACCTCAGTACACATCCTCCTCAGCGGTGGACGCCTGCCCTGACGGACATGCAGCAGCCGGCTTGCCAAAAACACAGCTGGAATGCAAGCAGGGTCCACTGCCGCAGGGCGACCCAGGACAATGGGGACAGAGGCAGGAGGGAACCCGATGGAGGCCCATGAGTCAGCGGCTTTCTCTGGATCTGACTGGAATAAACAAAAACAGGCTGTGCACAGCGGCTTGCACCTGGGAACTCAGCACTCTCGGAGGCCAAGGCAGAAGGACTGCTTGAGACCAGGAGTTCCAGCAGCCTGGGCAACACAGCAAATCCCTATCCCTACAAAAAATTAGCTGGGTATGGGGGTGCTTGCCTGTAGTTCCAGCTACCTGGCAGGCTGAGGTGGAAGAATCACTTGAGCCTGGGAGGTCGAGGCTAGTGAGCTGTGATAGCACTACTGCACTCTAGCCTGGGTGACAGAGACCCTGTCCCTGTCTCTAAAAAAAACCAGCCAAAAAGCACAGCATTTATGAGACAACCAGAAATGTCAACACTGAGTGGTTATTTGGTATTAAGGGATCGCCACTATTTTCTACACGTTATGAAGGTATTGTGGTTATGAGCTTTAAGAAGAACCTTTATAATTTGGGGGTATACACTGCAGCCTTTTAAACGTCCAGATAAAAGGCCACAGGGCGAGGCTGAGGGAGCAGCAGGTGAAGCAAGACTGGCCATGCCTGGAAACTGCTGGCGGGGGTCACAAAAACTTGGGGTTCCTGTCTCGACCCCACCACTTCTACATGTCTGAAACACTCTGTTGCAAGCATTTTTTTGGGGGGGATGGAGTCTCACTCTGTCGCCAGGCTGGAGTGCTGTGGCACGATCTAGACTCATGACAACCTCTCCTTCCTAGGTTCAAGCAATTCTCCAGCCTCAGCCTCCAGAGTAGCTGGGATTACAGGCATGCACCACCATGCCTGGCTAATTTTTGTACTTTTAGTAGAGACAGGGTTTCACTATGTTGGCCAGGCTGGTCTCCATCTCTTGACCTCGTTATCCGCCCACCTCAGCCTCCCAAAGTGCTGGGATTACAACAGGCGTGAGCCACCACGCCCGGCCACAAGCATGTCTTAAGGTGTCAGCATTTTATTCCAATGTGTCCTTTGCCTTTCCTAAGACTAAAAAACTTTCAGTTATTAAAAGGCTAATTGTTTCTATCTACATTTACTCAGGAATCTAAATTTCTCCTGCATGAATGAATTCTGTGAGTAGGAAAACAAGCTTCTAACAGTATTATCCTCTGGGTCATGCATTACAGGCTGGATACGATTTCCACAGATCTGGCACATTCAGTTGCATTTTGAATTCTAACCCTCTTCTGAGATACAGTGAGAACCGGCCCAAGTGGATTCTTAGCTTCTTCATCTGCCTCTGAAAGGTCTGATAAGCAGAATGCCAGGCCAGCCCACCTGGTGCTGACCTAGCCCCTCCCCAGCGCCTCGTTCCCGGTCACCAGCAGAGGGCCACCACCACCGCCACCACCACGAGAGCATCAGGAGCTGGGGAGCTTTGAGCAGAGTGATTCCTAAGCAACTGATTTCCACCTTCAGGATACTGTACTAGTTGGTATTTCTTTGAATTCTAAATGAAATGTGACTTTACAGTGAAGTTGTTTTTTTTTTTTTTAAGAGACAGGGTCTGGCTATGTTGCCCAGGCTGCAGTGCAGTGGCTATTCACAGGCACGATCCCACTACTGATCAGCACAGGAATTTTGACATGCTCCGTTTCCGACCTGGGCCAGTTCACCCCTCCTCATTAGGCCACCTGGTGGTCCCCGCTCCTGGGAGCTCACCATATCGATGCCGAACTTAGTATGGACACCCAATCAGCCTAGTGCACTAGAACTCCCGGGCTCAAGCGATCCTCCCACCTCAGCCTCCTGAGTAGCTGGGACTACAGGCACTCACCACTGTGCCGGCTACGAGGAAGTTTTTCTAGGGACACCAGCTAGCATGCCTTAGAGGGGCTACGGCTGCTCCTCTGGTGTTGGGGAGGCTGCCGCTGTGGGATGGGGGGGACTGAGACAGGAGGTGGGGCCCAGGAAGAACCTCCTTCCCAGTCACTAGCAGGCTCTGGGAGCTGCGTTGAGCCAGGGGGTCCCATGCACTAAACATGCGATCGATACTTGCTGCGGGAATAAAGAGAAGGGGATGAAAAGACATCTGCATGTCTTAGACAGATAAAAGAAGATGCAGATGGCTGAGAGCAGGGCTGAGAAGACGGGAGATTCAGCCAAAAGGAAAGGGGCCTTCCGTCCGAGAACCAAACTTCCAGGAGAGCAGAGGCTGCCTAGGCCAGGCTGTGACCTCGAGGAACAGGGAGACAGTCAGACACTCACCTTCTTGGAGGCCTGGTACCAATTTGTAAACAATGTCTTGCATGGTTCTGTCATGACTGGCAAAAGAACAGAAAAGTAGAGTTAGCTAGACATGTGAATTCTACAACTCCTGTACATTTTCCATTTAACAGCATCAAAGTTCCACAAATCTGGAGCTTTGCTGGAGTTTTACTTCCAGTTTACAAATGAAAGAATGTTTGTGTCACCAGAAGTTCTGCATGACTTCAATTAATGCTTCATTTAAATTTGGGCTCCAGCTGCTTATGAACATTTCAAATGACAGATAAGGTTACTCTGGGAACCCCTGCCCCTGTCTGCTGGACACCCCATGTTCCCCACGTCCCATGCGCTTAGGGGACACCGTCCCAGCAGACACCCAGGTTCCCCGTGTCCCATGCACTCGGGGGACACTTTGCCTGTGACACCCCAGGTTCCCTTGAGTCCTGTATTCTCAAGAGGCACCAATCCCAGCAGACACCCCAGGTTCCCTGCGTCCCATATGCTCAGGGGACACCATCCCAGCAGACACCTCAGGTTCCCCACATCCCATACACTCAGGGGACACTGTCCCTGTGACACCCCAGGTTCCCCGCGTCCTGTGCACTCAGGTGACACTGTCCCTGTGACACCCCACACTTCCCACGTCCCGTGCACTCAAGGGACACCATCCCTGTGACACCCCCACATTCCCTGCCATGCACTCGGGGACACTGTCCCTGTGACGCCCCAGGTTCCCTGCATCCTGTGCACTCAGGGGACACCATCCCTGTGACACTCCAGGTTCCAGCATCCCGTGTGCTCAAGGAACACCGTCCCTGTGACACTCCAGGTTCCAGCATCCCGTGCGCTCAGGAAACACCGTCCCTGTGACACTCCAGGTTCCCCGTGTCCCGTGCGCTCAGGGCACACCGTCCCTGTGACACTCCAGGTTCCCCGCGTCCCGTGCGCTCAGGGAACACCGTCCCTGTGACACTCCAGGTTCCCCGCGTCCCGTGCGCTCAGGGAACACCGTCCCTGTGACACTCCAGGTTCCCCGCGTCCCGTGCGCTCAGGGAACACTGTCTGTGTCCCTCCCACTGAATGCTTCCTGGGGCCTCCTGGTCTTTGTGGGATTTCCACTGAACAGAGGCTTTTCTAGAATGTTTCCAAATAACATAAAGAAAAGTCGGCCACACACAGTGGCTCACGCCAGGAATCCCAGCACTTTGGGAGTCTGAGGCGGGCAGATCACGAGGTCAGAAGATCGAGACCATCCTGGCTAACATGGTGAAATCCTGTCTCTACTAAAAATGCAAAAAATTAGCCAGGGCATGGTGGTATGCGCCTGTAATCCCAGCTACTTGGGAGGCTGAGGCAGGGGAATTGCTTGAACCCAGGAGGCGGAGGTGGCAGGAAGCTGAAACCCCACGTCTGTACTCCAGCCTGGCAACAGAACAAGACTCTGTCTCAAAAAAAAAAAAAAAAAATTAAAGAAAAGTCCGTAAGGGCCAGGCACATTGGCTCACACCTGTAATCCCAGTGCTTTGGGAGACTGAGGCAGGCAGATCACCTGAGGTCAGGAGTTTGAGACCAGCCTGGCAAACATGGTGAAAACCTGTCTCTACTAAAAATACAAAAATTAGCCAGGTGTGGTGGCATACACCTGTAGTCCCAGCTACTCGGGAGGCTGAGGCAGGAGAATTGCTTATACCCAGGAGGCGGAGGTTGCGGTAAGCCAGGATCGCACCACTGCACTCCAGCCTGGGCAACTAGAGCGAGACTCTGACCCCTCCGCCCCCCCAAAACAAGTCTGTAAGATGAGGCCCTTCCTGTGATCTTTATCATCGATCCATCGAGGCTTTCTGAAAAGATTACATAAGCATGCTATTTAAAATACAGTTCCCACTTCGGTATGCTATTCTTTTTTTCTTCTTTTTTGAAACAGGGTCTCCTTCTGTCACTCAGGCTGGAGTGCAGTGGTACGATCTTGGCTCACTGTAACCTCTGCCTCCTGGGCTCAAGTGATCCTCCCACCTCTACCTCCTGAGTAGTTGAGACCACAGACGCTGCCACGACATCCAGCTAATTAAAAAAAATTTTTGTTTACATATGTGGGGTTTTGTCACGTTGCCCAGAATGGTTTCAAATTCCTGGGCTCAAGTGATTCATCCACCTGGGCCTTCCAAAGTGTCAGAAATCCAGGTGTGAGCCACTGAGCCCAGCTGAGCATGCTGTTTTTTGTTTTGTTTTAGACAGTCTCACTCTGTTGCCCAGGCTGAAGTGCAGTGGTATGATCTTGGCTCAATGCAACCTCCGCCTCCTAGGTTCAATCGATTCTCATGCCTCAACTTCCCAAGTAGCTGAGATTACAGGCGCACACCACCACGCCCAGCTAATTTTTGTATTTTTAGTAGAGATGGGTTTTTACCACATTGGCCAGGCTGGTCTTCAACTCCTGACCTCAGGTGATCCGCCCACCTTGGCCTCCCAATGTGCTGGGATTACAGGTGTGACCCACCGCTCCTGGCCAGTATATGCTACTTTTTTTTTTTTTGAGATAGAGTTTTGCTCTAGTTGCCCAGGCTGCAGTGCAATGGCATGATCTCAGCTCACTGCAACCTCCGCCTCCCAGGTTCAAGCGATTCCCCTGCCTCAGCCTCCCGAGTAGCTGGGATTTTACAGGCATGTGCCACCATGCTCAGTTAATTTTGTATTTTTAGTGGAAATGGGGTTTCTCCATGTTGGTCAGGCTGGTTTCAAACTCCCGACCTTACGTGACCTGCTGGCCTGGCTTCCTAAAGTGCTAGGATTACAGGTGTGAGCCACCACGACTGGCCACTACTTTTAAACATAAATTGCAATTATGAGCCAGGAGTGGCAGGTCATGCCTACAATACCTCACATTAGAGGCCAAGGCAGGAGTACTGCTTGAGTGTAGAAGGTTGGGGCTACAGTGAGCTGGGACTGTGCCATTGCACGAAAGCCTGGGTTGACAGAGCAAGACACGGTTTCTTAAAAAAAAAGTAATTGTTTTCCTTTGTTAAGTAAAAAGTGCTAAGAAATTTCTTAATTTTCAAATGAATTTAAATTCTAAACATCATTCTTTAAAAAGAAAATCATATGTGCCAGATTAGTAATCTCCAAATAACTGAGGAAGGACCAGTAGCCGCTCATGGGTCCAGTCATGCCACAGGCTGTGGTGACCAAGTCCTGCCAGACACCGCTCCATTTCCAGGAAGGACCATGAGTGCCCACAGCCACCAGGCTCAGAGTCTCTGCCAGCCCCAGCCTGTGGAGTGGCGACGGGCAGGCACATCTCCCCTCACAACAAGTGTGCAGTACCTGGGTGCTACACAGACACGCCACAGGCTCTGTGGCCCTCAGCGCCCACACCACCCACACTGGCCTTCTCTAAAGTGCGTCTGATCCCTGAGGAGGAGACGCTGCGCCTCTAGGACCTGGGTGACCACGGCCAGGCTTCACCCACAGCAGGACCCACAGGGCCCTACGTTAGGGGCTGCTCAGAGCCACTCCCTGCCCTGAGAGCCGCCAGGACTCCATGGGGCCTCATCCCAGGGACACTGTGAGCTGCAGACACACACCACAGGGGTTCGTCCAAGGGGCGGGCACACACACTGGTCTCAGGGTAGGAAGCTGGAGAAACATGGACCAAGCTGTACTGTCAGTGGTGGGCAGACGTGGGCAGCCTGAGGGAGGGCGTCTTGACACTGCATTTGTTAACTGTGGCTGCCGCTCCTCCATGAGGCTTTGAGCTGCTGGTGTGCCACTTCAGACTCTGCATGCAACTTTAAAAGGGAGAACCAAGGCTGAGCGCAGTGGCTTATGCCTGGAATCCCAGCACTGTGGGAGGCCGAGGTGGGCAGATCACCTGAGATTGGGAGTTTGAGACCAGCCTGGCCACCATGAGGAAACCCCGTCTCTACTAAAAATATAAAAATTAGCTGGGCATGGTGGCGGGTGCCTGTAATCCCAGCTACTCAGGAGGCTGAGGCAGGTGAATTGCTTGAACCCAGGAGGTTTGTGAGGTTGCAGTGAGCCGAGACTGCACCACTGCACTCCAGCCTGGGCAACAAGAGCAAAACTCCGTCTCAAAATAAATAAATTAATTAATTAAAATAAAAGGAAAACACAACACATCTGCCTTTCCTTCTTCAAAATTTGTCTTCAGAATTCTCTCTCCTACCCTCTGTGGTATGAGGAGCCTTTCCCTTCCTTTGGACCGATCCTCAAATCTGTGTGAGAACCACATGCTCCACCTGGCTGGCCCCGTGGCCTCCTACTGACACCCAGGCCAGAGCTGCCCTCTCCAGAAACAGTCGCTGGCCCAGGGGTGAGTCCACGTACTGTGGCCTGGGAATACCCGCACTCACACGGACGCCTGGGGGCACTCATCCATCCACAGTACCGTGGCCTGGGAACACCCACACTCACACAGATGCCTGGGAGCACTCACCCACATACTGTGGCCTGGGAACACCCACACTCACACAGAGACCTGGGGATACTCAGCCACGTACTGTTGCCTGGGAACACCCACACTCGTACAGACACCTGGTGCACTCTCCCATGTACTGTGGCCTGGGAATGCCCACACACACACGGATGCCTGGGGGCACACCCACGAACTGTGGCCTGGAACACCCACACTCATACAGACGCCTGGGGGCACTCAGCCACATACTATGGCCTGGGAATGCCCATACTCATATGGACCCCTGGGGCACTCACCCATGTACTGTGGCCTGGGAACACCCACACTCACAGACACCTGGGGGCACTCAGCCACGTACTGTGGCCTCGGAATGCCCACACTCACATGGACACCCGGGGTGCTCACCCACATCCTGTGGCCTGGAACACCCACACTCACCCGATGTACTGCAGCGGGTGGCTCTGGTGGATCACGATCCTGCAGGTGGGGCAGGTGTTGTTCTCCTCCAGGTACTTCACCAGGCAGCTCCTGCAGACTGTCATCAAAGCACAGGTTGTTACGAGAGTCCAGAGCCAGGGTGCCCACCCCTCCCACGTGCTCAGCTGAATGTGGCGTCTCTGAGCCCATTTTGTGAAGACGCTTGCTGCTATCCTCCTTGTGGCTCTTGGCTTCTGAAAGGAAATGCCTTGCCGTTCAGGTCTCAGGAGCAATGAGACAATTTTAACTGCCCAGTCAAGGGGCTTCCTCAAAGAGGCAGGGTTAGGAATTAAAAGTGGGAAGAAAAACTTAGAATGGGGAGATGAAGATGAAAGGTGAGAGAGCTGTGGGTCATCAGAACATGGGCTAATACTGAGAATTTCACAATACTGTATCCTAAAAGATCACAGCATCTTCTAGGTACAACCAGTAAAATCAAATGTTAACTTAACATAAAATATGCTCACCAATATCTAAAAATACGATTAACGTTAAAGTCAAAATTCTATTAAATTGGCAAATATTTTATTTTCCAAAGTGAGAAATACATAAATATCACTTACGTTACAAGTGCTCACTTCATTTTAAAGATCCTGTTTAAACAAAATGTTCCTCAGCTATCAAGAGACACACACAGCAGTCGTCCACACCAGCAGGGCCACCAGCCACGGGCCTCACGTTAGCACAAGAACTGAGCCTCAGCCTGACTGATGATGCCTGCTCACCAGCTGCAGCCACAGTTAGAGAGAGACGCCCAGGCCCAGCCCAGTCCAGAGTCCTCTAATGCCAAAGCACAGGCTCAGCAGGTGTGAGGAATGCACGTCAGGTGTGGGAAACATGCTGGCAGATTCATCTCTGAAGAATTTAAGGAACTCCTTTGGAGACTCAGACATCGCCTGCAGTGAGTGCGTATCACAGCTACTGACCTTGATGCTCGCTCTCTTAAGTAAGGCCACATCTGCTCTGAAACCACCCACAGGACCTTTAACGTGAAATGCCTTTTCTGACTTATCCTCAGATCATCTCTGCTCCTGGTCCTGGGTCCTGTTGCTGTCTGGGCTTGAGCTAAAAGCTTGTGGCAAAACAAAAGCCAAGGTTCTGAGGAGCACATGGCTGGGAAGGCCCACCCCTCCCAGGTGGCCCGTGGGGCACGTACAGGTGTGCAGACACTCAGTCACCGTGGTGGCGTCGATGAGGTACCCGCTGCACAGGCGGCAGGTGATGTGGGCGTTGATGTCCCACAGCTTGATCTTCCTGGTCAACATCTTTGGCTTCTGCAAGAGAAAATGCAATTAACACCTGAAACTCTCCAATGCCTTTTGTCGGCTCAGTTCTGATGGCCCTCCAGGGAGGATGGTGCGAGCCGACGCCTGGGCAGCAGAACCTCAGGTTCACAAGGTCTCAGGCTCCCACGTGCAGGGCACGGTCAGCAATCCACTGTCCAGTGTCTGTGTGCACCGGGACGAGCCCACCTCTTCATAGCTTCCCTCTGTGCCCGACACTGCCTCCCCTCCTGCAGCGAGGACAGAGGTGGGTCCATAAAGCTGCAGACAGGCAGGATGGGGGCGGGGCAGGTGGACCTGTGGGTGTCTGTCCTCTGTGAAAGCAGAGGGAGCAGGAAGAGCGCGCCAGATGTGATGAGGATGGGCAAGCTCTGGGCACCAGGAGCCTCCAGGATATTACAGCGAGGCCCTGGGGCCCAGTTTAGAGTTGGGGGGGTGTGCCGTGCCCCTTCCTCCCTGCTTACTTCTGGGGCCAGTGCAGCTTCTATGGTGTCTTCTGAGGCTGTGACTCCCAGAGCCCGAGGTGGCGCCAGGCAGGGGCTGCATCCACCAGGCCCCTCCCTACCCTTGCAGGGCAGGCACAAGGCCAGGCCACAGCAGCTGGCGGAGGCACTGTACTGAGAGCTGCCGCAGCTGCTCCCTCCCACCAGGCCTGCGCCTTCGGGGAGGTGACCCCCCATGTCACCACACTGCCGGGCAGAGCCTGATTTGCTCCTGTGCTCAAGGCAGAAAAGCAGGGCTGCAGTGTGGAGGAGGTGGGGCGGGACTCAGCCTGCCCACAGTGCACCCCGATACTAGGAGTTCCCTCCCCACACCTTTCCCCAGGACAGCAGCAGGTGCATGTTCCTCAGTGGGCATGGAAAACCAAGACCCAACTGCTGTATTTGCGATGCCACTTTCGCCATCACCGCCACCAACAAGCCCAGCTGGAGCTCTGCTGAGCCCGACACCACCTGCCGCAGGCGCGCCCAAGGGTTCAGCTGCCTTCCCTCCCATGCAGCAGCTGAGAGCTGGCTCATCCAGGGGCCACCTGTCTGTGGGTGAGGCCTGTCCCGACCACTCAGCCACCACCTTCACGGAGACTTCCAAAGTCAGATCTTCCCCTCCTCCTCCCTATGGGGCTGTGGGGTTTGGGGCCCTGATGTGCACTGATGACATGGGAGCCTGCCTGGGAGGAGAGGGGAGGGAAGGGAAGGGGAGAGGAAGGGAAGGGGAGAAGGGAGGGGAAGGAGGCAGGGGAAGGAGGCAGGGCAAGGGCAGGTGGAGGGAAAGGGAAGGGAAGTTGAGGGGGAGGGGAAGTGGAGGAGGGAAGGGGAAGGGATAAGGAGAGGGGAAGGGGGAAGGAAAGGGGAAGACAGGCGGAGGGGGAAGGGGGAGGGGAAGGGGGGAGGAGGAGAGGGGGAGGAGCAGAGAGGGAGAGGGAAGGAAAGGAGAGAGGGGCGAGACGAGGAGGGGGAGACAGAGGGGGAGGGGGGAGAGAGGGAGAGGGGGAGAAGGGGAGGGAGAGACGGGGAGAGAGGAGGTGGGAAGGGACGGGGGAGGGGGAGAGGGGAGGGAGGAGGAAAGGGGAGAAGGGAAGAGAAGGGCAGCAGAAGGGAAGTGGAGGGGGGAAGGGGAAGGGATGGGGACAGGGGAGGGGGAAGGAGAGGAGGAGGGGAAGGAGGGGGGAGGGGAAGGAGAAGAAGGGGAGGGAGAGGGGAAGGGGAGGAGATGGCGAGCTGCACCCTGCACCCCTGAGGACCTCCCTGCAGGGTGCTAGTGGAGGGCCTCACAACTCACTGGGCAGTGGCCCCATGCTCAGTCCCCATGCAGCATAGCTCCTCCACGACCGCCACCTGAGGGTGCCCAGGTGAACCGGTGATGGAAGGAGACCAGCCCTCTGCACCCCATGCTGTGTCGAGGCCTAAGCCCCCACAGCTGGCTGGACCTTGGACTCTCAAAAGAGGGGCCAGGAAAATCAGCAGCGAACTGTGAATGCTGCACTGTGTCCCAAACTGCCAGCTGCTCGTGATCACCCATCCTCCCCAGCCAGTAGGCTCCAGGTGGGGGGCTCGGGCCTCACCTCCGCTAGACGTCCGCGTGTCCGCCCCTCTGCCGGGGCATGGAGGCTTCAGGCCAGCACTCCTACGCGATGCTGCCTCCCAGCTTGGCTCGCGGGCTCACCTCTGCACCTTCCTTCCGGCCCTGGCTCCTTTTCCATTTTCTAGCACAGAAACGGCACCTGTTACTTCACTTCCCACCATGGATGCCACAACCTCGCTGTTCCTGCTAGAACTTGCAACCAAGACCTACCCAGCACAGGATGGAGTGTACTCACTCAAAAGTTACTGGCCAGGAGAAAAGCTAAGGAGGCAGTCACAGCCCCAGCCTGTCCTCAGAGCCTGCATTTTAGAGGCGCTGCGAGGAATGGCTGCTTGCTACAGTGACCACACACACAAAGCGTGGTCAGCGCAAGGTCGGGCAGTTCATGGCACGGAAAAAGGAGGTAAGTTGGCTTATGGGCATTACCTGAACACGATACTCAGGTCCCTGCTACATCGTGAAGCCTGCGGAGAAAAAGCACAACAGGGTGTTATCCGGGGGCCAAAGATGGACGTCCCCCACCCTACCCGCGGTACCAAGCCTGGCTCGGTTACACTGGTCTGTTCCTTTACTTGCTTAAAATAACCAAAAGTTCTTCAGGGACTGTGAAGAACAGGCTCTACCCTGGAGACATGGGCTGGTCTCGGTGGCTGTCGGGAGTCTCTGAGGCCCGGGCCCCAGGCGTCGGAGATAGGAGTAGGTATGCAGACCTGCCTATGGCTCGCAGACCTGCCCTCGGCTTGCACACCTGCCCAAGGCTCACGGACCTGCCTGAGGCTTGCACACATGCCCACAGCTCACAGATCTGCCTGCAAGGGTGCCTGTGCAGGTACTGGGCCCGGTGTTGGGCTCAGCAGGGATAAGGACACGTGCGTTCTGATGGGGAGAGGGCGGTGACATAGTACATGCAGCGCTCGGTCGGGGCCAGGGAGGGTGTCTGGGGCTGCAGACAGGCAGAGGGGGCAGGGGAGGAACACAGCCCCCGCCTGAAAGACAAGCAACAGGCACCACAGGACTGAGGGGACCATGCGGGGACCCTGCCTCGGAGATGGGGCACCAGAGCAACTGCCATGCTGGGAGGGCTTTCCCGGGAACCTCAGTGCACCCCCCCACATTCCTGTCTGAGCCGGGGAACCTCAGTGCACCCCCCCCCATTCCTGTCTGAGCCTGGGAACCTCAGTGCACCCCCCCACATTCCTGTCTGAGCCAGGGAACTCAGTGCACCCCCCAACATTCCTGTCTGAGCCGGGGAACCTCAGTGTACCCCCCCACATTCCTGTCTGAGCTTGGGAACCTCAGTGCCCCCTACCATGTTCCTGTCTGAACTGGGGAACCTGGGTGGCCTCCCCCATGTTCCTGTCTGAGCTGGGGACACAGGTGGGAAGAGAGGGCCTTGGCCAGCTGGCTGGCATCAGACCGGGGAAAGTTTGGGGGCCTGAGATGATGTACAATGTCTGTGGCTTAATGACGGTGATTAAATACTTTCATGGTCCTCATATTATATCCAATTTTTATCATTTCTACTCTTGACTATATTTTTTATTAACTCATCTTTGATGCTCAATTAACTTTTACATAAAAAGGGAGGAAGGAGGGAAAGAGTAGAATTAGTCTTCCCAGGCAAGTATAAGGGGAGATCAGCAGGCATGTCTGAGGCACTTGAGGCACGCAGAAGAGAAACAAGATGAAGAGAATGAAGCCAGGCTCAAAGCCAGGCTTCCAGAGCATTCCGCAACACTGGAGGCTTCCATATCTCCAACAACACAGCCGCCGACCACACTTGGCATGGAACATTTTAACTGTGGCTTACTGGTCGGACTCAAGAATCACATTATTATTTTTTATTTTTTTGAGACAGGGTCTTGCTATGTCACCCAATCTGGAGTGCAGTGGCGCGATCTTGGCTCACTGCAGCCTCTATCTTCTGGGCTCGAGCAATCCTCCCACCTCAGCCTCCCGAGTAGCTGGGATGACAAGCATGCACCACCACACCTGGCTAATTTTTCTATTTTTAGTAGAGACAGGATCTCACTCTGTCATCCAGGCTGGCCTTGAACTCCTGGGCCCAAGTGATCCTCCCACCTCAGCCTCCCAAAGTACTGAGATTACAGGGGTGAGCCACGGTGCCCAGCCCAAATTTTTTTTTTTCTTTTTTTTTTATTTTCTTGGGGGGGGTTTTACTTATGTTACCCAGGGTGGAGTGCAATGGCGCGGTCTCGGCTCACCGCAACCTCCGCCTCCTGGGTTCAGGCAATTCTCCTGCCTCAGCCTCCTGAGTAGCTGGGATTACAGGCACGCGCCACCATGCCCAGCCAATTTTTTGTATTTTTAGTAGAGACGGGGTTTCACCATGTTGACCAGGATAGTCTCGATCTCTTGACCTCGTGATCCACCCGCCTCGGCCTCCCAAAGTGCTGGGATTATAGGCGTGAGCCACCGCGCCCGGCCCCAGCCCAAATTTTTAATTGTATTTAATTTTAATTAAACTGTGGCGAGTGGTTCCTGTGTTGGCTGGCACAGCTGGTGGCTCCTGACAGGAGTTCTTGGACTTCAGTGTAAACACAGACACAGACCTGGAGCCAGCATTCTAATGGAGGAAGACAGACAATACATCACAAACAAACAGGTCTATTGTTTAGCATGTCAGAAGGTGACACACACACAGCCATCCCTTGGTATCCTTGGGGAACTAGCTCCAGGATGCCGCTCTGATACCAAAATCCACAGGTGCTCAAGTCCTGGACGTGAAGTGGCATTGAGTCTGCACGGAAGCTGTGCATGCCACCCTCCTGCTCTACAGCACCCCCAGATTACTTACAACATGCCCCCCTACCCCTCAACTCTACAGAACCGCCAGATTACTTACAACACGAACACACTGCAAACGCTATGACAATACTTGTTCTACTGTCTTTTTAAGATTTGTATTATTGTTATTGTTGGATTGTTATTTTTTATTTATTTTATTTTTATCTTTTTAAAGATGGAGTTTCACCACACTGGTCAGGCTGGTGTCGAACTCCCGACCTCAGATGATCTGCCTGCCTCAGCCTCCCAAAGTGCTGGGATTACAGGCGTGAGCCATCACGCCCGGCGGATTGCTATTTTTTTATTGTTTTGGTTCCTAAACATTTTCAATCTGTGCTGGCTGCACCCCTGGATTTGGGGGGCTGGCCATGCACTGTTAAATCAGCTGCACCTAAAGCAGGTGACTCTGAGCACAGGTAGGACATTATGAACTTGAAGCCAATAAAATGGAAAGTTCACGTGAAACTGGTAAGTTCCTTGAACAGTGATACACCAGCATTGAGACCAGCAGAGAAAACCCAGAAAGTTCCAGAACCTTAAGGGAGCCAGGTCAGTGGCCAGAAAGTCCCTTCCAAGACAGCCCCAGGCTGAGGAGGGCTCCAGGTGGCTTTATCAGACACTCAGCGCACAAACAATTCAGTCCCAAACTCTTCTCAGAGAACTGAAAAGACAGCCTTCCCAAACTCACGCTATGGGCCTGACAGAACCAATCCCTGACAAGGGCAGACAGAGAGAAATAAACGTTAATCGCATCAGGAAACATAGAGGTGAAAATCCAAAGAAAGAGGTTAGTCATTCTTATCTTGCAATATACAAAATGATAATCATGCTTGACAAACTCAGATTCCTAGAAAACAAAGTAGGCTTAATGTACATGAAAAAGATATAATTTATGACAAAAGATATAAGGAGAAAAATCACATGATCTTCCCAACAGGTGCATAAAAATTATTTGACAAAAATCATTGTCCATTCATGATTAAAAAACAAAAACTCAGCAAACTAAGAAGAGAAGGAAATACCTTTAACCAACTAAGTTTTCTGTTGAAGACACTCAGCTGGGTGTGGTGGCTCACGCCTGTAATCCCAGCACTTTGGGAGTCTGAGGTGGTCAGATCACATGAGATCAGGAGTTGGAGACCAGCCTGGCTAACATGGTGAAACCCCGTCTCTACCAAAAATACAAAAAAGTAGCTGGGCGTGATGGCGAGTGCCTGGGGTTCCAGCTACTCAGGAGGCTGAGGCAGGAGAATCACTTGAACCTAGGAGGCCAAGGCGGCACAATCCAGTCTGGAAGACAGAGTGACTCCATCTCAAAAAAGACACTGGCTAACACACACATCCTCTCAAGGTCTTACACAAGAATGTTCAAAGCAGCCTTTTCGCTAATAGCCCCAAAATGGAAGCCACCACCTAGACCATCGGGAGGTGGATGGGTAAACATGGCGTGACCCCTCCCCAAGCAGATGTGTTTTGGCAGTGAAAGTGAACAAAGGAGACGCACGTGATGGCTTGGGGCAGGGGCAGACGCAGGTGCGCACACGTTTCCACACACTACGCAATTCCAGAGCGGCAAGTGCGGTGGGAGGATGCAGGCAGGGCACCCAAGGTCCAGACAGAACAGAGACTGGCCACAGAGGGGCCTGAGGGAGGCCTGTGGGGACTGAGCTCTGGGCCACCACTGCCGGTGTGTCCACGAGACTGGACAGGTGGTGAAAAGTCCCCACTGCACAATAAAACTGGTGAATTCTAGTAATCTTACAATTAAAAAACAGACCACAAACATCATTGCTAGTAGAAAAATTAGGAAAAAAAGCCAGACTCTCAGTGTACACCAGGCACTGCGCCACCCCACTCTGAAAATAACCAGGGCCAGGTGGGCAAGGACACTGGAAAAGGCAACCTTTAACTTTTGGAGGTGGCTAAGGAGGGTGAGGAAAAGATTGATGAAACAGAAAACAAAACTGACCAAGAAGGAAACGGTGAATAAAGACTCATAAAATCAAAGACAAGCAAGCTGAATTGTGCAAAAGCCCCATGGTGAAAAGGCCAAAGCCTGAGGAAAATTTCTAAAGTGCCTCCAGGGCCACAGCCTAGACTGGGGCCTGGTCGAGGCCCAGCTGTGCCCCAGGCTGTGTGAGCAGCTCTGCACCCCGCCCGGCCTGTCCCAGGGCACAGTACCAGCGGCGGGAGGCCTGGGGCCACACCAGGTATATTCACCATCTGCTCTGTCGCAGTTTGCCAGCCCCACTCTAGCCAACAGAGAGCTTCACAAAAGAGAAATTTCAAATGAGCATACAGCTAGTGCTCAACTTACGACCACGGTTGGGACCGCGGACCGGTCGTAACACGATTTCGTCGTAAGTTGAGTAGGCTATATGTACAGTTGAAATGGTGCATGCGGAGATGGTAGTGCTGCTGGAAGCTGGTCCGCACTGTCATACACCCATCTGGGCAACGTGTGCGCTGCCAGACGTGGAGCAGTTGTGGCTAGCGATCGTGGTCGTAAAGTCGAATGGTCGTAAGTTCCATAGGTGGTAAGTCCATCAATACCTGTCTTTTTAAATGCTCCACGTTATCAGTGAGCTGGGAAATGCACATTGAAAACCCGATGAGATGGCTGCTGACCGCAGTGTGCAGGACCACGTCCGCAGCG